AGTACAATAAAAAAAAACTGGAGAAAACACAAACACACTGAAGCTAACCAACATGCTTCTAAGTAATCAATGGATCAAGGAACACATCAGAGAAGAAATCAAGCAATACATGGAGACAAATGAAAACAGAAACATACTGGCTCAAAATATGTGGGATGCAGCAAAAGTGGTTCTAAGTGGGAAGTTTTTAGCAATATAGGCATACCTCAAGAAACAAGAACAATCTCAAATACAACTGAAGGAACCAGAAAAAGAAGAGCAAACAAAACTCTAAATTAGTAGAAGGAGGGACATAATAAAGATCAGAGTGGAAATAAATAAAATAGAGAACACTAAACTAAATAAAAAAATCAATGAAACCATGAGCTGGTTCTTCAAGAAGATAAACAAAATAGACAAACCCTAAGCCAGATAGAAAAGAGAAAGGACACAAATAAACAAAATCACAACTGAAAAAAAAGAAGTTACAAATGACACCAGAAAAATTCAAAGAATTATAAGAGAATGCTATGAAAAATTATGACAATAAATCAGACAACCTAGAAGAAATGGACAAATTTCTACAAACACAAAATCTTTCAAGACTGACCCAGGAAGAAACAGGAAATATAAACAGAACAATTACTAGTAACAAAATTGAACTGGAAATCAAAAAACTCCCAACAAAGGCACAATACTAGATGGCTTCATGGGTGAATTCTACCAAACATTTAAAGATGAGCTAATACCTTCCTTCTTGAAGTATTCCAAAAAACAGAAGATGAGGGAATGCTTCCAAACTCATTCTATGAGGCTGGTATTACTCTAACCAAAACTAGACAGAGACTACAGACAAAGGAAACTACACACCAGTATCCCTGATGAACACAGACACAAAAAAAATCCTCAACAAAACATTAGCAAACTGAATTAAAAAATATATCAAAAGGATCATTTATCATGACCAAGTAGGGTTTATTCCAGGGATGCAAGGATGGTACAATACCCACAAATCAATCAATATAATACATCATATTAAGAAAAGGAGGGATAAAAACCATTCGATAATCTCAAAAGATGCTGAAAAAGTATTTGACAAAATTCAGCATCCATTTATGATAAAAACTTTGAACCCAGTAAGTATAAAAGGAATATACTTCATAATAGAGGCCATATATGACAAACCCACAGCTAACATCATACACAATGGGAAAAGCCTAAATCTTTTCCTCTAGATCATGAACAAGACAAGGGTGCCCACTCTCACCACTTTTATTCAACATAGTACTGGAGGTCCTAGCCATAGCAATCAGACAAGAAAAAGAGGTAAAAGTCATTCAAATTGGTAATGAAGAAGTAAAACTGTCACTATTTGAAGATGACATGATATTATGTATAGAAAACCCTAAAACTCCACCAAAACACTATTGGAACTAATAACTGGGCTCAGCAAAGTTGCAGGATACAAAATCAATATACAGAAATCTGTTACATTCCTAACAACTAGTAGAAAAAGAAATCAAGAAAACAGTTCCATTTACAATTGCATCAAAAAGAATAAAATAACTAGGAATAAACCCAACCAAGGAGATGAAACACCTGTACTCTGAAAACTATAAGACACTCAGAAAAGAAGCTGAAGAAGACACAAATAAATGGAAATCTATCCCATGTTCATGGATAGGAAGAATTAATATTGTCAAAATGGCCATCCTGCCCAAAGCAATTTACAGATTCAATGTAATCCCTATCACAATACCATGGCATTTTTCAATGAACTAGTGCAAAGAATCCTAAAATGTATATAGAACCATAAAAGACCCCAAATAGCCAAAGCAAACTTGAGAAAGAACAAAGCTGGGGGTACCACATTCCCTGATTTCAGGCACTACTACAAAGCTCCAGTGATTAAAACAGTATGGTACTGGCATAAGAACAGACCCATAGATCAATGGAACAGAATAGAAAACACAGAAATAAACCCACATATACAGGGTCAATTAATATATGACAAAGGAGCCATGAATATACAATGGGGAAAAAACAGTTCCTTCAATAAATGGTGTTGGGAAAACTGGACAGCTATATGTAAGAGAATGAAACTAGATCACTGTCTTGCACCATATATAAAAGTGAACTCCAGGTGGATTAACAACTTAATGTAAGACATGAAACCATTAAACTTTGGAAGAAACATAGGCAAGAATCTCATGAACGTCAGCATGAGAAATTTCTTTCTGGATACATCTCCCCGGGCAAAGGAAATAAAAGCAGAAATAAACAAGTGTGACTACATCAAACTAAATTGGTTCTGCACAGCAAAGGAAATCCTCAACAAAACAAAAAGATAACCTGCCATATGGGAGAATATATTTGTAAATGATATATCTGATAAGGGGCTATTATCCAAAATATATAAAGAACTCATACAACTCAACACCAAAAAACAAATAATCCAATTTAGAATTGGGCAGAGGACCTGAATAGACATTTTTCCAAAGAAGACATACAGATGATCAACGGGCCCATGAACAGATGCTCCACATCACTAATCATCAGGGAAATGCAAATTAAAACCACATTGAGGTATCACCTCACACCAGTCAAATGGCTACTATCCAAAAGACAAGAAATAACAAGTGTTGGCAAGAATGTAGAAGAAAGGGAAATCTCTTACACTGTTAGTGGGAATGTAAATTCATCCAGCCACTGTGGAAAGCAGTGAGGAGGTTCCTCAAAAAACTAAAAACAGAAATTCCATATGACCCAGCAATTCCACTTCTGGGAATTTACCCAAAGAAAACCAAATCACTAATTCAAAAAGATATATGCACTCCTAGGTTTACTACAGCATTATTTACAATAGCAAAGATATCGAAGCAACCCAAGTATTCACTGATAGATGAATAGAAGATGTGGTACATATACATAATAGAATAGTAACCATAAAAACAAGCACCAAATGACTTCACTCACTTGGTGGAATATAAAAACAAAACAAAACTGAAGGAACAAAATAGGCAGCAGACCCACAAATTCCAAGAAGGGACTAGTGGTTACCAAAGGGGAGGGGCTGGGAAGGGTGGGTGGGAAGGGAGGGAGAAGGGGATTGAGGGGCACTATAATTTGTAGTCCCAATATAAGTAGGTCACAGGGAAGGCAGTATGGAGAAGACAAGTAATGACTCTATAGCATCTTACTATGCTGATGGACAGTGACTGCAATGGGCAATGGTGAGGATTTGATAATATGGGTGATTATTGAAACCACAATATTGTTCATATAAAGCCTTCATAAGTTTGTATATCAATGAAACTTTAATAAAAAAAACAATATTAACCATAAAAGAGAAGGAAATCTTGCCATTTGTGACATGAATGAACCTAGAGGGGATCATGCTAAGTGAAATAAACAAGGCAGAGAAAGACAAATACCAAATACCATATGATGTTAATTACATGTGGAATCTAAAAAGCAAAACACACCAACGAAAAAGAAATATAGCCACAAATATGGACAACAAACTGTTGGTTACCATAGGGTGGGGGTGGGGGATAAAAAGGTACAAACTGCAAATTGTACAGTAAGTTTGTTACAGGAATAGAAGTACAACATAGAGAATATAACCAATAATAATTGTAATACCTTGGTATGGTAATGGATAACTATACTTATCGTGGCAAGCATCTAGTAAAGCATATAATTATTGAGGCTCCATGTTGTATATCTGAAACCAGTGTAATATTGTATATCAACTTTATTCCAATTTGAAAAATTAAGAGACAACCTATATAATAGTAACACATAGTTGCAAATTAAATATCTGATAAGAGTCTATCTAGTATACAGAATATATAAAGAACTCTTACATCATAATAACAAAAAGACAACCAGATTTACAAGTGGACAAAGGATCTGGATAGACATTAATCCAGAGAAGATACACAGATGGCCAACAAGCACATGAAAAGACTCTCAACATTATTCGTCATCAGGGAAATGCTAATCAAACTATAGTGAGCTATCACTTTGTACTTCCGAGGATGGCTGTAATGAAAAAGTGAGATAATAAGTGTTGACAAAGATGTGAAGAAATAAACCTCATACACTGCTGGTTAGAATGTAAATAGTGCAGCCACTTTGGAAAACATTCTTGAAGTTCCTCATAAAGAAAACATAATGTTGCCATTTGACAATTATACTCCTATGTAAATACCCAAGAGAAATAAAAACATACATCCACAGAAAACACCTATGATTATTCACAGCAGCATTATTCATAATAGCCAAAGGTGGACTAAACTCAAATGACCATTGCTGAATATATCAACAAAATATCATTTACTCTTACAACAGAATATTATTAAACTATAAATTAATGAAGTACTGAAACATGCTATGAAATGAATCTTAAAAATATTACACTAAGTGAAAGAAGCCAGTCACAAAAAAACCGTATATTATGTGCTTCCATTTATTATATGAAATGCCCAGGATGGGCAAATCCATAAAGACAGTAGGTTCATGGTTGCTAAGCCCTTAGAGTGGGAGATGTGGGGAATGACTGTTTAAAGAGTATGGGGTTTACTTTTGGGGTGATGAAAGTGTTCTGATATAGCAAGTGGTGATGGTTGTACAATATTGCTAATGTACTAGATGTTACTGAATTGAATACTTTAAAATTATTAAAAGGTAAATTTTGTTATGTGAATCTTACCACAGTACAAAAAAAAGACAGAATGGCAGACAAACAACAACAACACAAACTAACAATATTTCTACGATAATAATAGAAATCCGTCTGTGTTTTTTGATTTACAAACTAGACAATGGCATTATGGGTCTAACATACAGCACTAGAAGTTTAAGGAAGGGCTATTATTCATCAAAGGAAAATTACCTGGGGGGGAAAAATGGAACTTCTTACATAGAGAAATAAATCTAACGTAAGAAAAAATAAGATTTTCTTTCAGAGAAAAAGTGAGTTCTCTCTGGACAAGAAAGTGTATCTTTCCCCTCACCTCTCCCTGGGCTGATGGCTGTGAGGAGAGGCTGATGGTCACTCATTTCCTCCCGTCTCTGCTTTTCAGAAACCATTTCCAGTTCCTTTTTGGCTAGTACTGTGCCAGATGGGTAGAACAGGCCAGTGGTCTGTGTGCCTACATCCTTCTTAGGGCCAGCATCAGGTCTGGTCAAAGGAACACTCAGGAACTGCCAGGCAGATCGGGGCTTTGAGCAAGGCAGAAAACATAAAATACTAGAATTTAATTAATCTTCATATTATTCATAGAAAACAATTCAAATCAGAAATAAAAGTATCTCCAAAAAACTGTGCTTTGAACTAAAAGAGGTTGTCAGACCTTGCCTCATATTCCTTGCTTCTGTCTTTCCCAGCAACTCCCAGTGTGATCCCAAAGCTAACCTCATCCATTTGGCCATTTACTGTTTCAAATTCAGCAAAATCGATTGATATTCCCTGTCCTCCTGCCTGAGGCCTGGAAGAAATCTATCTTTCAGCACTACAGTCCAATGGAGCATAGACTTTACTGTCCATCCACACTCCACCACTGGGCACCAATTTTTTCTCCGAGATACTCTCCTGCAACTGGATCTGGGGACTTGAGAGGACTGCCATGTAAGGCTGTACAGGCTGTGCACTGCACAACAGCACTGCTTCTAAAGGGGTAACATTCACAAAGAGGACATCTTATATTTGCATATTTACTAGGACAATTTTTCTGGTATATGGATGAAAATTAGTATATTGCAATCTATTCCCAATAGATGGCAGTAAGTGCCTTGAGAAAAGAATACCTTTACCTCATGTGTACAAAGGTACCTTATAGGTTATTGGCAGTCCCAGGATCTATAAATCTTTCAATCAGGTTAAGAAAGCCAAGAACTCCCTAAATATGAAAAATATGAAAGAAGCTGCTGAGTGCATGTGCATTCCAATAATTATCAGTCTTCAAATTTTAATGAAGAGCTAAGAAGAAACCTGAAGTCTTATGTGGCTTAGAGAAATTCATAGGAAAGGTAATAAGAAGAGATTAAGTCCTTTTGAAAATAAACTTCTGAGGTTTTTCTCAAACTTTGCCCAGTTGTTATAAATGGCAAAAGCACTTTTATATACCTGATGTAAATTTTCTAAAATATAAAAGGGCATGGAGAAAAGTTCATGTATGCTATGTAAGAAATTCAAGATAAGTACATTCTATCTCATATATTTTAAATCCACTTCTGCCTAATACATGACTTTTATTGCCTTGCATATGCAATTAGACCTCAATCTATTATGGGTAAATGCATATTTACATCTTTGAATTCTGAAGAAATCACTTGTGTGTGTAAAACCTATATTGATTGAATTAATTTTCACATCTAGCTCAAAATCCACGTGAAAGGTCTAAATGTTTTGGCTCTCTTTCCCAGGGTTGATTCACAAGGTAGAGTGTACAAACTCAGTCATAATTTTTTCCTGAGCACCAGTTCTGACTACAGTGAAGGCCTTACCTCAGCCAAAGAGCCAAGTCCTCCAGCAGCTAGAGACAGGCTCTTGTCCATGCTAAGTTTTGCCGAGGACTTCACATAAATACCACAGGAGCCACAGAACTGGGCAGATGGGTGATTGCTGGCCCCACATTTAGGGCAAACAGAGTAGCAAGGAGGAATGCCAGGCTAGAGGATTGAACATATTTTTATATTTTCATGAGTATTACTCATAGTTTTCCTATATAAATTATTTCTATACCATATAATCTCCAGTCATCAAAATATCATATGCCCATCCCCTTTGACCCTGCAATTCTATCTTCTAAAATTTATCCTAAAGATGGACAAGTATACAAGGAAGTATATCCAAGACTATTGTCCTGCAGGACTCTGGTTTTAGAGGAGATAAGTGAAACAACCTAAATGTTCAGCAACAGAGGATGGCCTACATGTATCATGGTACATATACACAGTGGAATGAATGAGGCCACTGAAAAGAATGAGGAGGTTACTAAAAAGATATGATGCTATGTGAAAAGAACTAGATCAGTGTTCACATTAAACTAGCACTCTACTTATTAACGCACTGAATGGCTGAAACACCACCTCAGAACCTGGGCAATGGTGACTGCTTCTGGGGACAGGAGTGGTGAAACTAGGATGAAGGGAGACTAACCCTTCACACTAAACCTTTCGTATTATTTACATGCAACACATACTCAGATAAATAATTTTGAGTGTTTCATTAAAAAGGTTAGCAGACAATTCATAAAAATAAATACTGATAGTCAATAAACGAGTGAAAAAGTTTAACTTCAAAGATATGCAAATTAAAACAGCAATGAGAGAACATTCTCAATTTTAGAGAATTAATTATCTCTGTCTCCAGGTGCTTAGGTAAATAGGTGCTAGTACCCAAGTCCTGAGAAGTGGCTTCTGTGAGGCAGTGGAGGAGCCTGGCTCTCCCTAGGATGGAGGGAGGCACTCAGCACAAAACAGCCCAGGGGTAACATACCTACCTTGGCGCCACACCAGTCACAGAAGCGAGCCTCCTGGCGATTGCGGCGACCACATTTGGAGCAGGACATGGTCTCCCCTCTCTGGGTGGGCAGAGGAGGAGCTTTATCTCCACTGCACCTGGACTGGTGAACATATGGCATTTATAGGCGGATCAATGCTCTCCCACCCACCCCCACAATCCAGAAAAGGAAAAAAAAAAGCTGTAAATCAATGCAAGCCCTGGAAATAAGGTATTTTTGCCCAAAAGAATAAAATTAAGATGAGCTTCACCAATTAGTAAATTAGTATAAAGAACACGAATTCCTTCATAGTGAGCTGATGAAATGGGTGCCTCATGTATCTTGATATTCCTCAGTATCTTTAATCCCAAAGCAAGCAAGCCCATGGTTGATGTGCTATGACAATACTGATGAAACAATGAAGGAGAGTTGAGCTACCGAAGGTGTCATTATTGAGGTTTGTCTTATATCTTGTAGGGTTCTGGTCTCCATCTGGAAATGTGAATTTATTTTCCATTCCTGACATGAAAAGAATTCTTCTATTCTGGGGAGGGAGTTGGAAGCAGTTCATGGGTATTTCCTAAAGGCCTGGGTTAGAATCTTTGCTCCCACTTCTTGCTTGCTATTGCCTGGTAAGAGATTTTCTCATCAAACAAATGGGATGATAGTATTTGTCACTGCTACCTGATAATCCGCTATGTGCAGGCAGTGTTCTGACTGCTGCCCCCAGACCCTCACATCAAACCACAAGACAGACATGCGAGGATGGTGCCATCATCACCTCTGTTTTACAGGAAAGGGAAACTGAAGCACAAGGAGGGTGAAACCCAAGATTTGAACCCAGGCCATCCAACTCTAAATCCTGACTTTTATCCACGACTCCATGCAGCCTCTTCAATACCACGGATCTTCCTTACAGATCCAGGGGGCGGTGGTTCAGATGGTTAATGCCAGTTAAGTATGTAGGAATGATTAGCACAGGGTCAAGCTCCACGTGTTGGTTTCCTGACCTTCTCATCTTGCTTTCCACCAGGCACTGATTTCTTTAAGAGAAGGGATTATCATTGATTTGACTATCATCAATCAATGAATTATTGATTCAATTGATAACTAAACATGTGTACTGCTAAGAATGTGTACACTAGGGAAAATGTTTTCTATAGTGAGTTTTTCCTCTAGACCAATATTTTAGGCACCTTTATTCACCTAGCTGTATCCTGTTTTACTTCAGCGACTATTTTGTTATCTTAAAACAGGCATCTAGCCAGAAAGAAGCCAAATCAGCCCCCAAAATCCACCGAGACCAAGAAAGATGATTCTCTGTGTACACACATGTTCACCTCATTTCTGAGCAATTAGAGGGAGACTCCTTGGTGTAAATCAAAAGAGAAACCCTTTGCACATTTTTGCTTCAGACTTAAATTTCAATTTACCCTACTGTTAAAATAAGGTTTTGATATAAAACTTGCTGGCCCAAATCTCTAAATATAAAACCTTCAGATCTTCCATTTATATGCATCTACTGCTCAAGTGGATTTTTTAAAGAACGAAAAGTTATCTTACCCCATTCATATTAAGGCTACTAAACAAAAAAGTATATAAAGCTGCTATCAGACTGAACAGACACTGTTCCTTCTATGGTACTTCAACGATAAAGATTCTAACTGACAGCTAAACTCAGATCTACCACTCAGATAGAAATACAGTTTGAAAACTAATTCGATTTTGAAATCGTTCCTGCAAGTTTGTTGGTAGGTGAGACCCAGAAACAGTTACATCACTGTTAAAAACAACAGTTACATCACAGTAAATAAAATCAATTTGAATTATTTTACTATTTATATAAGGAGTTTAGAACATCTGAGAAAATAAATCTTTTGCTTGGCAATTTAGTTGACTTTATCAGCAAAATCATTACAAGAATTTCCAAGTACCATTGTTTTCTATTTTTATGTTTTCTCAAGATATTTTTCTCCCTGGTGCCCTGGAAAATTATAAAGATTATAAAGTGTAATTTCATGATGGGAGAGTGACATGAAGTCTGAAACCACATTAAGTCACAGAGATAAATAGCAATCAACAAAAGACTACCCTAAAATTTCATTAGATTTGATTTGGGAATAAATTGGCTTTCATATTAAGTTTGCCAGATCATTAGCATGTTTTTAGTTTCAGTTCTGAAAGAGAAACACAAAGTAATTATAGAAATAACCTTCTAAAAAAAGCTATACAGATTTTCTTTGTGGTAGTGACAGAGTAAGACCATACCAAATGACTCCTATCCAGAAAATAACTATAAAACCTGCTCATAATGCATGAAGAATGAACAGGAGCAGGGAGACTCCTGTAGGAAGTGCACACAAGTAGCCTGGGGCTAAGGGCTGTCAGCACAGAGCAAGTGAAATGGTGGGAAAAGGGCAGTATTTCCAGCTACTAGAACCAGGAAACTGAAGCTGGGGAATAGGATTTCAGTAAAGAAAGAGAAAGAAGTAACTATTCTGGAACAGAAAAATACAATATTTGAAATAAAATATTTACTGGATGTACTTACTAGCTAAAAGGAGATAATAAAGGGTAAATGAGCTTGAACATAGGTGAATCGAAATTACATGCAATGTAAAGAAAAGAAAAAAATTTTAACAAGCAAAACATCAGGGAGCTATTGGATTATATCAACCAATTCAACAGATATGTGCATGGAATCTAAGGAGAGTAGATGGTGAGTAGAGTAGAAAAATCATTAAAGAAATCATGGCTGAACAATTCCCAAATTTGATGAAAGACAGAGATTTACAGTTATAAAATGCTCAATGAACACCAACTAGAATGATCACAGAGAAGCTCACGCTGACACGCATTTTAGCCAAATCTTTGAAAACCAAAGATAAAAAGCAAATCTTAAAAGCAGCAAGAAAAAAATGACACGTCACCTTTTTGGTAACATCAATCTGATTAACATCCAACTTCTGATTAGAAACCATGGAAGACAGAAGAGAATGGAACATCCTTAAAGTTCTGAAAGGAAGTTATTGTCAAACCAAAATTATATAGCCATCAAACTTACCCTTTCAGAATGAAAGTGAAATAGAAATTTTTAGATAAAAGAGAACTATGAGAGCTCATTACCAGCAGACCTATACTATATGAAATGATAAGAGTTCTGTTTGAAGGGAGATGGTATTTGAGAGAAAACTGGATCTTCAGAAAAGGGTAACAAACATCAAAAATGGTAAATACCTGTATAAGTACAAAAACAGGTTTTTATCTTTTTGCTTTTTTCCTCTTCTTTATAAACCATATAATTGTTTAAAGAAGAAATTACAATATTTTCATAGGGCTTAGAATGTACATAGGTGTAGTAATATATACAACTGTAATATAAAGGAAAGGGGAGAGGGATATGAACCTATATGGTTGCAAGATTTCTGTGTTTTTACCTGATGTGGTCCAATAATAACTAATTAGACTATAAAAAGTCAAACATCTACATTTTAATCACTATGGGAACTACTAAAAAAATAATGCCAAGAAATACAATTAAAATAGCCAAAAGGAAAATGAAAATGGAATTCCAGAAGTATTCAAATAACCCAAAGGAGGCAGGAAAGTAGGGACAAAGATAACAAAACAGATAGAAAATCAAATAATAAAATGGTAGATCAAAACCTGACTACATCAGTAATTACAGTAACTTTGATGAACTAAACCTTCTACTTAAAAGACAGAAATTGCCTCAAAGGATTTACAAAAAAGAAAAAACAACCACATGCAAGCCACAGACAAGAGCCAGCTATAGAGGCTGAAAGTAAATACATAGTCCATGCAAACAATAAAAATAAGAAGGCTGGGGTGGCTCTAACAATTTAGGATAAAATAGGTTTTAGAAACAAATGGTTTATGAGAGACATGTCATAACCATAAAAGTTTTAAATTCACCAGGAATACATAACAATCAAAAATATTTACGTGCCTGACAAAATATGTGATGTAAAAATGGACAGAATTACAGGGAGAAGTAAACAATTATAGAATCATTGTTGAAGGTTTTAATACCCTACTCAGCATTTGCTAGAGCAATTAGATAATATTGATAAGACATATAAGATCTGTCTGTGCAACATTCTGCTTTAACTTAATTGATACTTATAGAATATTATAATCATAATAATAGAAAACACATTCTTTTCAACTGTACCTGGTATATTTTCAGGGTTAGACTATATAGTGGACCATAAAACAAGTCTCATTAATTTAAAATAGCTGAAATATATAGTGTGTTATCTGATTATAATGAAATCAAATTATAAATCACTGGCAATAACATAATTAGGAAACCCCATATACTTGGGAATTAAACAACCAATCTACAAATAAATCATAGGTCAAAGAAGAAATCATAAGAGCAATTAGAAAATTTTTTGAACTGAACTATAATGAAACTCTAGCTTATATAAATTTGTGGGATGTTGCTCAAGAAGTTCTTATTAATAAATTTATAATTTACGTTAGAAAAGAAGAAAAAATTTAATGAGTTATCACCTTAAGAAATTTTGAAAAGAAGATCAAAGCCCAAGGCAAAGAGAAAAAAGGAAATAATAAAGATGAAAAAAAAATTTTTAAAGGAAACAAAAACTAGAGAAAATCAACGAACCAGAGCTAGTGTTTTGGAAAGATCAATGAATGTAAGTCTCTAGCTTCTGAGAGGGTGAGAGGAAAGAAGGAGGGAGGGAGAAAGAAAGAGAGAGACAAATTACAAACATCAGGACTGAAAGGGGATGTCACTACAGATCCTACAGACATTAAAACAGCAAAAAAGGAATGTCATTAATAAAATGCCTGATAATATTAGTGATGAGATAGAGAAATGAACCTTCCAATATTGCTGGTGGGAATGCAAAACAGTGCAGCCATTTGGGAAAACATATGGCACCATCTTCCTAATCTTAAATAGGATCCAGTAATTGTACTCCAAGGTATTACCCAAGAGAAATGAAAACTATGTCCACACAAAGATTTGCACATGAATGTTCAAAGTGACATTATTTAAAATATCCCCAAACTGGAAACAACACAAATGCCCATGAAGTGATGAGTAGATCAGTCAGTTGTGGTATGTCCACACTGTGGAATACTACAATCAAAATGAAAAAAAAAATATGAATGCAACAGCATGAATGAACCTCAAAACATTAAGCTAAGTGCAGGAAATCAAACACAAAAAACTACATACTTCTGTACAAGTCAAAACCATTATGTCAAAAAAGATCAGCATTTTCTGGGGCTGGTGGTCATGGGAGGAACTCAACTGCAAAGGGGCACAGGAAAATTTTTTAGGGGAATGGAATTGTTTTGTGGTGGTGGTTAAAATGACTATAAATAATTGCCAACATTCTTTAAACACTAAAGTTAAAGTAGGTGAGTTTTACTGCACATAAATTATACTTCAGTAAAGCTTGAAACAAAAAGGATTCCTTTAAATCAACTCGTCTTAGACTGTCAGTAATTTGATACAACCTTAAAAGATATCTTGTCCAACTCCCCTGTTATGGGAAGTATGCCCCTCTGAAGATTATATTTATTGATTATCATCAACATTGAACATTTAGCAGTCACTAAATATACACAGGACTGGCACATGCAGTCAACCTACCTCTTGTGATGAAGGCAGGGCCCCCTCGCAGGTGACACAGTATTCCAGATGGGCAGGATTGCCCGTGCCACAGGTGTGGCAGATAACTTTCTCCTTGAAAACAGAGAATAATACATGTTCCTCTGTGCAAAGAAATCATTAAGCAGTCTTTCAGCCAATCAGCCAGCTTTAGAGCCTGTTTTAACACCCATGCCCTGAGGTTGGGTTGGTTTAGGAAATATTCCAACATAAACAGTGTCAGACAAATGAACGTTGTTTTAAAAGAACAAAACCCAAAATGAATAAACTGAAAAAGAGTTATTCATTTGGCCCTGGGAAGGCAAATACAATATTCTGCACTGATTATGTGTGAGTTATCATTTTTTTCTCTGTGAAAAATGTGGTCAGTAAACTCTCCATGTCCTGGCTTAAACAATAAACAGAAAGACCCAGGACCAGCAAAAGCTTATCTATGTGTTCATGAGTAACTTAGTTCTTGGACTGTGGTTTACTCCATGAGGTCCATATTTAAATATGAATTTAGGGTAGCTCTGTAGTTTCTCACTTAGAAACAGAAAAATGGAAACAGGCTTTCTCAGGAAAGACTGCCTGAGAAAATGAATGGTAAGTGCTACTTTTCAAGCCAGGAACCTGAAGGTAAGTTGCAATATGAAAACAGCCTAACTGGAGTTCAGCTCTCAGAGGTTTGCTAGTGTCTGATTGGTCACTGGACACCATCAGGATACTACCTCCTGCAACTGCCCATGAAGCTAAGATGCTCCTTTCTACTCCAGTATGTGTTCCTCAGGTGTCCCAACACCGGTACAGTATGTTCTGAAGTTAATACAGGTAAGGAAGACAAGTACAAGAAAGGCCAACTCCTTGGATTTTAGTATGACTGCTGCTAGGTAGGCCTATCAAGTGCCTGGCCTTTCCAAGTCTGGATAACTCTACTTTAGTAGAAGCCTCCAGGGTCTTTCTAGGAGCCTGAACCAACTCAGAAACCACAGTTCCCAATGCAGTTCCCAACACAGAGCATTCTTAGAGTGATGGCTGAGGAACTGCTATTCAAAATGGCCGAGAATCACAGAATTGCTCTAGTTTCAGCTTTCTCAAAGTTGCTTGAAGTCTCCATGACATGATCTGCAATCGCCAGAGCTTTCCTGCATTTAGGACCCATTGTGAGATCCCTGAAGATGTGGCTCCGAAAGATCTGGTGAAACCGACTAAAAAAGTAAAACAGATTTCCTGCCCTGTGTTAAAACATACTGAGCTCAAATGAAAATAATAATCTAGCTGCTGTGGTAGGAAACACTTATTCCAGAGAGAGAGAAGACTATAGACCAAGTGAAACTGCCTACTTTTTAAGTCTCACAGCTTCCCTCAAGATGCTCAACTTGCAGGGCCCACAATCCAAAATCAGTATGACCCCAAAGAGTTGCCACGTCTGTATGTGTGTGGTGAGGGGCGGGGCAAGCGTGTGTGTACACACATGCACATGCTTTCATGTGCATGTGCAAGTGCATGTACGTGTTAAGAGCACCTGAAATCTCCTGTCTTAGCACATTTCCAGTATACAAAGATGGACATGTTAATTAGCCTGACTGTAGAAATTATGTCACTACATAAATGTACATCAAAACACCACTTTATATATAAAACTCTTATTAAAACAAGTATTAAACTATCATGTCATAAACTTTTCCCAATCCAAACTATCTCAACCCAATCCTAATCCTGCCTTACAAAACTCTCTTTATATTTTTTTTGTTAATAAACTTTATTTTTTAGAGTTTTAGGTTCACATCGAAACTGAACAGAAGAGGCAGGCTGGCTGCTGGCGGGCGGCGGCGGCCTCTGGGCAGTAGAGGGGTCTCCGGAGCTGAGTCCTCGACAACGCCGGCCGCGGAGGCGGCACCATGGGCACTGGGTAGAGGGGCAAGTTGGCCCCCGCCGCCCCGGGGGTGGTGGAAGAGCCGCGTCGGAGGAGGGGGCGGGTGGGGGAGGGAGGGGTAGGCAGCCGCTTCGCCGCGGCACTTTTAAAAATTTTTCGGGTGCCGCAGCAGCGACCCCTCCGCGCCGCTGTCCCTGATCCATGGAGCGATGACAGCCGCTGCCTAACCTGGGAAGGACCTTGTTAGCATGCTGCATCACCTCAGGGAATGCCATCACATGGAGCACACTGGAATGGCTGCCTCAAGGAGGAATGCCAGCTCCTGAGCAGGCCTCACTGGTGGATGAGGCTCAACCACAGACCCACCAAGAAGCTGCCTCCACTGGCCCAGGCATGGAACCCGAGACCACAGCCACCACTATTCTAGCTTCCGTGAAGGAGCAGGAGCTTCAGTTTCAACGACTCACCTGAGAACTGGAAGTGGAGAAGCAGATTGTTGCCAGTCAGATGGAAAGATGTAGGCTTGGGGCAGAATCCCCCAGCATCGCCAGCACCAGGGACACAAAGATACCAAAACCTGGAAATTTCCAGTCCAGCAGAAGGGACCATTGTGCATAACTAACAATGTGACCAAGTGCCTTGGTAGCAGCATAAAATATATGACTGTATTTTATTATTTTTATTTTGTGAATCAGATTACATTGTCTGTCTTGGCTTGGTTCCAGGAAGTTTTACCTTGTCTTCGATTCTCATGTCCTTGGGTGAAAATACTTTCTTGTATTTTAAGAAAGAGAACAATAAGCATTACGCCTATTGCATAACAGACGCTTGGGCTGGTAGATGTTCTGTGCCCATTATCTTCTTATTGTTCAACAAGGTTTACTTTTTGGTGTTTTTGCGTTTTCATTCAATTTGGTTTTAATTCTTATTGTAGACCTGAATTCAACATTAGGATGCTATTTTCCCCTAAAGATAGTGTTATTCTATTGGTTTTTCCACTGGGGTGTCAGTAAGTGGTTTAAGAAGACTTAAGTACCCGACTTACCTCCACTCTACCATCCCAAGTAGACACATTCTGTCTAGAATCATGTTCATTGTGCAAAGACAATTATAAAACACCAGCCCCTAGCCCCATCTCCACTACCATTATTCTGTCTGGCAGATTAAGGACACAGAGAAGCAAGACTGATGTGTGTGGTTAGATGTTTCCTTAACCTTCCAGAGAACTACTATCATACACAGCTCTAAGCCAGTGAGGTATGGAAAAAGAAATAGAAAATATGATTATCCACCTAAAAGTGAGAGCCATCCATTAGTGCATTTTCAGCAGGTAATCAGCTTGCCAGAAAAATGAACATGGCATGTCTGCCAAGGGAAAAAAACTAACAACATCTGACAAATTTACCAGACTTTGTAGTGAGCGCATTTATTATAGCTGTCCTCCCCGAGGCTTCATAATCTATTTAATAACAAATCAATCTAATCTGTTGGTTGCATAGATTTTCTACTCTGCTGTTGTGTTACTCCACAATTAAATAAAGGGAAAAACACTCTAAAACTGAAGAGGAGAAAAGCCTGTAGGCTGCAGATTTTCACAGCTAAAAAATTCATATATTAAAAATTATATATTTTAACCAGTTCAGATACAATATTTGGTTTGCCAGAATAGACTGCTTATAATAACCCAAGGAATAATTGGCTTTACGGTGTGTGTGTGTGTGTGTTTACTTTGTTTAACTTTTTTTTATTGGAAAAGAACAAATAACAATTATTCTGGGATCTATGATATGTAGTTTCTACTTCAGAATAAGTCAATGAAAGGTGGATATACCCCCAGCTATAGTTACATTATCAATAGTGGGGCTCTTTGAACCACAGGGAAAATGCGAGTAAAATTATCAACCATGATACAAGAACTGGTGTTTAGGAAGTATAAAATACAGATCTATATCTATTTTCTCAGCAGTAATAGCAGAATGCTTTTCAGTGAAAACTTACTTGTAAATAGAAAGTGAAATAGTATTGTATTGTATTCCTTATGAACATAAATACAAAGGTAGAAGTTGTGTTATTGACCAGAGGAGTACATTAAGAATAATTTGAGGAGTTAAAATCTTGGGTGAATTTTGCAACCACTAACAAAATCATGTATCTAGATCAGTGATATCAATGGCTACTAAAATAATTATCTGAAAAGATGATCTGTGTTAATATTCTAAAGTGGGAGATAGTCAGAAATTATGCCCTCCTGATAAGAAGCAATAGGAAATATATGTCCATCACCTGTGATATATTCTTGCCCCAGAATTTCTCAACCATCTAGATACAAATACCCGTTTGTAGGACATACGGAGAGAAAGGAACATGTTAAATGACACTGTGCTGATGCATTGGTTAGATGCATTAGATCTAGTTTGTCAGGAATTCTGCAGGGCCAATAAAATGATTTCAAACAAGAAAAAAGGAGGGGGGATGTAACTAAGCATCAAAAGAGATTTTAGAGACACTCAACCAAATACAAATATGTGGACCTTGTCTTGGTCTTGATTCAAAAAATATGTCTATTTTTAAACCTTGAAGCAGGGAATTTGAATACTGACTAGATAGATACTGGTTGATATGAAGAATTTTACTGTTAATTTTTTAGGTGTGACAATGTTATTGTAGTTTTGGCCTTCTCTAGGCATCTGTGCTTGGAGATACACCTAAAGTATTTATTACTGAAGTGATACCATGTCTGAGACTTGCTTCAAAATAATCTAGTGATGCAGAGACAATACTGGGTAAACTTTTATAAAGTTAAGATGGTTACATTTGTATACTCTATTTTATTTGAAAGACCATTTAAGTTGAATAAATTATGAATCTACAAAAAAAAAAAAACTGAACAGAAACTCCAGTATTTCCATTTCTTCCCTGTGCCCACACATACACAACCTCCCACAACTGACATCCCACACCAGGATGGTACACTTGCTACATCCATTGAACATACAAGCACACACCATTATTCCACCATAATTTACCTTACTTAGGTTCAGGCTCTCTTTAAAATCAACAACTGTTGCAAAAAAATGCTAAAATACGGAGATCGATTCAAGATGGGGGCATGAGAGGTGAGACAGAGAACTCCTCCGCAAACCACACATGGTGCGAAGATATAGTTAATGCAACTAATCCTAAAACAGCAACAGGAAAGAAGGCTGCACCAGACTGCACA